CGCCGGGGCCCCCCCACCCCCGGCACTAATTTAATTTAGCCTCGTTATTGTTGTTATCGTCGTTGCCGGGTCGGGGACAAGGGGGGCGGGTGGGAATCGATCTTCGATCAGGAAGATGGCTGCTGGCTGGCTGCTGGTCTTCAGCCTGACACTTTTCCAGTCGCTCGTGCTCAACCTCTCCTCGGAAGGACCCTTCCCCTCCGCCACCACGTAAGTTCCGCGGCGGGCGGGGAGGGAGCGCGCCGAAAATCCCCTCGGGAAATAAAGTCCCCCCGGGAAGAGGCGGCGAGGGAGACAGGGCAGGAATTCGAGGGCCGGGAGCCGCTCCGCGCCCGCGGAGCCCCGTGCGCGGCCGGAGCCGCGAGGAAAGTTTCGAGTTCCCTGGAGCCCGCCCCCTCAGCGCAGTTTGGCCGGAGTTTTAGCGCTACTCCTCGGGGAAAGGAAAAAAGAAAAGAGGGGGAAAACAATAAAAATAACTTAGGCGTTTTTATTTAACATAACATGACAAAAGAATTTTCTTGCCCGCAGAACAGGGCAGGGCAGCGTTGCTGGGAGTTGGGCACACGCGTCTCGGCTCCCTCTTTCCTGGACACACTCGGTGGCCACCGCGGCCGCTCTGACCCTTCCAGGATTTTTTTTAATGCTCGTTGGGGCTGTGCGTGGGTGCCCCCGTGTCCGCGGCCCCCGAGGCCACAGCGGGGTCTGCGCCGGCCTGGCCGCCTGCGGGATGTTCCCGGCTCGGAGCAGCTCCGGATTTCGCGTGACGGCGACACAGGGACCTTTAAAGCGCTGCATGCTCATTAGCATGAAAGTGTTGCCCAGAGCGGTGCAAGGCGCGCACAATGAAATGCAGGAAATAAAAAAGGGGAGAAATAACTCCAAATACCATATTTCATACTCAGCTTATTTTTTTTCCTCTAATAATAAATATTATGGACTGTTAACCGTGTTTTTTTCTTTTTCTTTTTTTCCCCAGTCCTTCCTCCCTTTATTTATTTATTTATTGGAAGCACTTACTTTAGTCCCTGAATCTGGGTTAGAGCGATCAGTAGATAACTTTTAAGTGGATGACTCACTTTAATGCATTTTGCATAAGAAAACCAGTGCTAATGGTGGACTTTCCTATTGTTTAACGCCAGCTAGAATTTATTGCCTCGTTCATTATGTGCACAAGGATGAGTTTACAGCAATTACCAGCAATGCATTTTCACCAATTAGTACTGCTGGTGGGTTGTTATAATTGGATTCAGTTCTGAGCACCGGGGCCGTTATGACTCAAAGGGCTCCTCGTGCTGCTAAGTGAAAGAAGGGAATGAAAAGATAAGTGCAAAATACTCGTTTAATATCTTCTAAGTGAATAAACAGAGATGTGAAGTGAAAATTATCTTTAAAAGGTATTTTTGTTGTAGTTTATAATGATGTGCCATGTGAAAGCAAGAGTGAGGAAATATAAAGCTTGGGCTTTTTTAAGCAGTGCTTTACATGTATTTGACCTGCATTTGACTGGAAATACATAGGGAAAGTATGTCCTACAAAACTAATTACACTTTATAGATTAGATAAACACATAGAGGATAAAGGGAAAGAATGTGGAACATACTAGAATAAAAAGAAGACTTTATGATTTCAAACAGAACTGTAGGTATTTTTTTTACTATGTCATTACATAGTATTTCTTTAAGATTTTCTTTGTCGCTCTGTCTGTGCCTGCTACTTCCATTCGGAATTTTTCTTACTGTCAGCCATGATAATGGAAATTGTGCTTGTTTTATAATTAATCTCTAATTATAAGGTACATCTGTGATTAAGTGATCCAAAATACTGTAGTACGCTAGTCTACTAGTTAGCATTTCTGCATTTCAAACAATCTAATTACTGTTAGTTTTCTTTTTGTTATTATCATTCTAAAGAAATATTGGAGAACCAATCTACAGTGCCTGTCCATCTTTTATAGTAATGTTTCCCCTTGGAAAAATAAATAAAAGTGCAAATAAGATTTGGTTCATTTAGGAGACGGCACAACAGGTTGCTACAGGGAGAGCTGCTTTGCAAAAGTAATGGTGTAACAGGTGAAACGGAAAACAATTTTATGGCTGCCTTTCAACGCTTGATAGTTAGTGGTGTTTGGCTTCCTGCTATAGATGGCAAGTGGGGAAGAACAAAGGGAAGTGACACAAATAGGAGCGCCCTTAATGGGAATGATTCTGTATTTTAAGAATATTAAAAATAAGAAAAAAAAAAGAAGAGAATAAAGGAGAGAAGGGATATTAACAAGTATTAGCTGATGTTATGTACCTGTCTGCCTTTTTCCCACTCTTTTCAGTCTATTTTTCTCTTTTAAGTTTTAGTTGAAAAGTTGATTTGAGGCAGCACTATTGCCCACGTGTTTTATGAAAAAAATACACATATTTAAGGCTGTGTAGTCTGAGATTTTATCAACAGTTCATCACTGAACAATTACTTTTCCTTCTATCATCTTTTTCTTCTGTTTTTTTCCTAAAACATTCAGAATTCCATATCACTGCTTATGAGTATAACATATTTTTAGTTTGAAAAAAAAAAAAAAAAAAAAAAAAGCCGAAGGTTTAGCAAAGCCAGTTTGATAGAATCTCATTCATTTGATTGATTTTTATTTCTCTGACAAGGCAGAAAGGCTTTGATATATTTCCCCAGCAATATCCAGAGAATTTCAAGTGCAGGTGTGTGGTATATGGAGTGTGAGCCTTAATCTTTCATTGAAAACCTGACACGGGGATATAATCACATTTGTTGCTTCCGATGTTGAAGCCTTTCCTTAACCGGCTATTTAAATATAGTGGTAATTATGTCTTGACCTTTAGCTGTAATGTTTAGCCACCGATCGATATATGTTTGAGGTTTAGTTAAACTGTTTCATTTTAATTGTGTCAGGTATTAGGAATCTATTATATTTTAGAATTTTACAGAATACTATGCTCTAATTTTTAGTATTCCAACCCCAAATATTTTGATTACTGGTGCAGCATTGCAGATATTTTGCACTTGTATGCGGATATTGTTTTATATGGTGCTCCCGTCACTGTAACTACTAGCACAGCGCACAGCACACTTGTTTCTTTGCAACCACACACACTTACCATCTGTATCTATCTAGACTTAAGAAAGAAATACAATTATGTAGGTGTGTTTTTGCAACTTTTGTGATGAAAATACCATAGGACTCTTTTTCTTTTTACTGTTATTTGTATGACACCAAACCAAACAGCTTTAAGTTTAAAAATATGTTGTAATTGCTAAGTATTCTTCTGACAGAGTATACCAGAGCAGTGTTGATACTTTATTTGATAATGAGTAACATGTGATATAAAGATGCTGCCAGAGGATAAGTCCGGCTACTGCGGTAAAAGAATAAAACAGTGATATTTTGATTTTGTCAAACTTAGGGCTGAAGGCATATCAATGGCATTGTTCCTGCAGTGACATTATTCTGGTTATTGCTTAGTGTCTGCATGGTTTCTTTCCTAATTTTCCTCCTCCACCTCTTTCTTTTCTGTACCTTTCATCCTCCTATCAAGGCTTTTCAGTATGTCTGGATTTTAAAATAGAGACTAAAATTCTCTGCTATATTCCAAATAGGTATAAAACATCTAAAGATAAATATGTATAGTGATATATATATTTGCAGGCCTATATATTATATGTATTTGCAGGTATTATGTATGTGTGTATCATGTAGACATGAGAGGCAAGGAATTCATTAGGAAAAGAAGCTGTGTCTTCCCATTTCTAATTTGTGTGATTCATCTTTGCTGTTTTGGAGTCATTAGGACAACTGAGAGAAGTACATACAACTCTTACGAGACAGGGCTCGCACAAGTGTGGGATTCCTGATTTTGCTTTCTGCACATGGACCTAACAAGTGTTGGGCTGCCTCTGGTGGGAGTGTAGCCAGGCTTGGGCTATAGCATCACTTTCTATATAAAATCTGTCAGTGACCGAGTGTAGGTAGGAGGTATTTATGATGTGCTCTTCTCATACAGTTCTACCGTCATGCTTAGGAACTTGGATACCTCTCACATACGTGTGTGATTGCATCTTTTTAGCATAAGATTTTTAATAGCAGAATGTCAAGCTTACAGCAGAAGTTGATTAGAAAAGACAGATACCTTAATGGATTGTAAAATATCAGGCCCTGTCTCATTTGAATATTGTATTTTTTTCAGTCTATTTAATAATCTTCACTATTGGGAAGAAAAACAAAACAAACAGAAAAGCCCTGCTGAAGTGTATAGGAAATAAATGTGAATACTGAATAAGAAAGAAATGTGGAGCTGTAATCCACTTAAAATCAGGAAAATGCAATATCGCAATATCACCTCTTAGTGTTTTCTCAGCAGCCCATGGCAGTGTGCTGCACATTATACAAGATACCACAGATACTTGGAAAAAAAAGGTCTTGCTCCAATGCATTTTTTTCTAGTGGAAGAATATTAAAGACAAGTGTGAAACAGCTTGTTGAGATATATATAGATATCTATCTATATATATATAGTATGTGTGTCTGCACATGTGGTAGTGCTAAATGAAAATTATTCAGATCTGGAAAATATTTTTCCATTTTACATATTTTGAGGTTAATTGAAAATGGGTTTTTATTATTCTGGTTTTCTTTCTTTGTTATGGCAGGGCCTGAAAATTGGCAAATTATATAGACTTACATTTTACTAGGTATGAAAATTCAGCTGAAAACTTGAAAATAGACACTGATCATCGAGAGATGAAATTTCATTGAAATAAATCAGTGTTGTAGAGGTTCTTTGCCATCTTTCATTTTGCAGTGATGCTATTTTCAGAACTGCATTGCTCATACCCTGCAAAATGATTTTATCCAAGAATTCAGCTGCTAGAAAGAGAGCTGGAGCTTGGCAGCACATTAGCTCAAAATGTATTCATTGTTAAATACAAGGCCTGTGGTACACATCTTAAAAATATTTATCTAGCAGAGCATTTTAAATTGATAGAACCATGGTCAAATTATTACTTTAATCTTTTGTAAACAAAGCAACAAAATGAATTATTGTTGCTCACCGATAACGGTAGTCTGAGCTCTTATGCCTTTATTTTTTATTTTTTCCTTTTGTGCGAATGCTTTACCCAAGCTACCTCTTAGTATTACCTCTTAGAGCAATGCTGGCTTAAACTTCTGATACATGAGTATTGCAGTTCAGGGG